TCCAAATGGACCAATCCGCGGAGCCGTTACGTTACGTCCGCGGAGCCGTTACTTCTTCACACACACACTCGATCTTTTCTCAGCTGCAGCTCCGGGGATTTCTCAGCCTGGGACGCGGCGAGGCTGTGAGTCTGTGTGTGAGCACACAGACTCACAGCCAGGCTGCGGGTGTGTGTGTGTGTGTGCTGGTTTCGGGCTGGGTCTCGCTGTCTCGCCGAGCCCACGCAGCAACCAGGAAACCACACCAGTAAGCCAGCTCACACTGTCCGCTCCTCGCAGCAGCGAGCCTCACAACGTCCCGCCAACACGGCACCCAGACCCCACGCAGCATTCTCATCTGTTTGTCATTACTGGTGTCATTTTCTGGTTGCTAACGCCATTGTAAAACATAATCACTGATGTTCCGCTGTAACGGTGGTGGACTCATCAGAACAGAGTGGGCGAGCTGACCAATCAGAGCACAGTGGGCTCACAGGGAGGGGGGGGCAGGAGCTCCAACAAGCCGTTTAGGACAGAGAGTGAATACACATACTATACAGAGATGCTGTATGAGAAACCAATGTGAGTTTGGAAAATTGCACAGTATAAATCTATTTTAGTAGACCTCAACAATGGAATTATGATCAGTAGAAATGGCCATGTCATGGGACCTTTAATAAAAACATGTTGACACACACACACACACACACACACACACACACACTTTGCATACTACAATAACATACACATTGCATTTTCTGAATTCAAGCTTTTTTCTCATGGTAATACGCTCTTTAGCTATATGGCCTGTCCAATTTGATTACCTTTTTGTAGGAAATGCATTTGAAACAAACTAGTTTTACATACTTTGTGTCTAGAGGAGGAATTCAAGTTTCTTCCCTTGATATAAAAGTAGTATTCTTTTTTTTTAACCAAGGTCAAGACGAGGGGTGATGGGGCCAGGTTGAGGAACCTTTGTTGTCCCATTTAGATAAAAGTGAATGACATGAAACCTGAATCACTGTTGTCCTGAGCTGGATCTGCCAGGTCAAGCCCATCCACTGCTCTCATTTTCTGATCAGTGATTGCACTTTTGCCACACACACACACACACACACACACACACACACACACACACACACACACACACTGGTAGGTGCAGACAGCAGGAGACTGATGGGGGCAGGGAGGTGCCGATTGTGTTTTTAATGTAGCTCTTCATCCCCTGTATTGTAACAGAAGGGGTGAGAGGTGCTCAAACAGTACCAACCAACCCACACACACACACACACACACACTACTGTTTTTCCCAGCCCCCTTTGCCCTGCCACTGGGGGAGGAGGAAGTAGATGCAGAATGGGACCACTGGTGCAGTTTGATTGCACCACGACGGTTGGGATGAGTCATAAATCATGCCTGTCGCAGCTCCTAATCATCCACACACACACACACACACACACACACACACACACACACACACACACACGCCTCACAGATATGCATCTTGTCTTTACTTCTTGGTATAACTGGCTGCACTGGGAATAGCCTGGGACGGTCATTACGTGCAGATGGAGGGCGAGGAGCACCAGCCCCCCTTCCACATATAGCTCTATGAAACTATCCAGGTATGGATTTTTCTCTGTGGGTTTAACCTCCCCGGTGGGAAGGGGCCGCCTGTCATAACGGAGTGTGAACTATGTGTGTGTGGTGTATGTGTGTGACACTTTACCCATCTTATCAGTGCCCGGGCAGCTGTGTACCTGACGCTGTGTAATCTCATTGATTCCATTACCAACAATGATGAACCAGTGCTTCGTCTTCAGCTCCCTACAGTGGTGTCAGAGTAGCAGCTGGACGTGGAGCTCAATGTTGCACAGATAGCTTTTCACTTCAGAATATGGAAGTTTTAAAGCTCACCTATTATTCTATATTTGAACAATATATTATAGGGCCATATCTATACAAAACATGTCTCTGAAGTGTTTTGTTCGAAATACCAAACAGATCACCCATTGTAGCATGCCTCATACCCCTCTATTTCAGCCCAGGCTGATTCTGGGTCTGGCCCTTTAAATTTAACCAAGCTGCTGCTGGCCATGCCCCTTTTGTGCTGCTGGCCACGCCCCTTTGGAGCGTCCACATGCAAGCAGTGAGCTCTGTGAAGAGAAGGCTGTCTACCAGCAGAAACTCAGCTAAACGCTGCCGTGATTAAACGCCATATTATGTTCCAAACCACATCAAGCATTATTTCTGAAACAGTATGGAGCTCAAACACTTTCTCTCTCACGGGTTTACCACAAGGACAGTACCTTTTATATCCTGCTTCTTTACATATATTCTCTCCAGTACAGCGTTAGCGATTTTAGTAATGTCGTCATGACTAGACTGTCACGATAATTAATTTTGTTGGACGATACATTTTCCTGGAAATTATTGCGATAAACGATAATATTGTCGGCACTGTTGTAAGACCATTTTAGACCACTGACATAATGATAATATATAATAATTCAAGTACATCCTTTCAAACATAACTTTTTATTGAACATTATATATATATATATATGCACACATTGTCTCACAAGCACACAAAAAACCTCCTTAAAACAACAGTCAAGTGTACAGTCCACTGTCCATACAAAGACCCAGATGCCTCAACAGGCCATATCCAAATCTGTTTTTCAAAGTTTTCGAGCAAGGAACACCAACATGTTTGCATTGTCGGGCAAATGCATCTTTGATTGTAAACTGTCGGGAAGGTGGGGGCTCTCCATCTGCCGTGTTTGCTACCAGCTGGGAAAACGGAATGGTGTGGTTGTGTTTTAGGTGTAGTTTAAAATGCGTGGTATTGCCTGCTTTTGTCGCTACCTTTTTTAAACAAATGTGACACACCGCCCGGCTCATTCAAGTCCATAGGTTCGCCTCGTTGATTTGGCTTGAATCCAAAATACTGCCACACCGGAGAATCGAGATGTGTAGTTAGGTTTTGTAACCAATTCCATTTCACTTTAAATTCTCCGCGAGTAAGTCACACGTTGTCTCCCGCTTGTCGCTATATTATTAATTTGGCTGCTGCACGTGCACACGGAGTGTCCTGACCTGGCTGTGTGTCAGCCCCGCCCCTCACAGCGCGCGCGCCTGGCAGCCACAGCGCGCCTGGCAGCCACAGCGCGCCTGGCAGCCACAGCGCGCCTGGCAGCCACAGCGCGCCCTGGCTAAAATGCTGGTCACATCCTTATGTAAACGGAAATTTATCGAGCTCAGAAAAGTTATCGAGTCCATTTTTATTTATCGTACGATAAGTCAATTTATCGATTATCGCGACAGGCCTAGTCATGACGCAGCAAATCAGGTTCTTACTTGTTTTGTTGTACCCCCGTTTTTAGAGATGTGAGTAAGGAGGAAAAGAGAGAGGGTTGTATTTTCTGACACTTTGTGAGTCTCCTTACACACCTGGGACACATATTTATGTATAAAATACATTAAAAAGTGCATTTTGCATAATAGGTGACCTTTTAAAGAAACACATCAAAACTTGTTGGGAAATACCCGTGTATGAAGATTGATTTCAATTTTCTGTGTGTGTCTAGTAAGGAGATACTGGGACAATTTCAATTCAGTTTAGAAGAGACAGGGGAAACGGATATACTGATTTTTGGCAGGTATTGTGTACACTGTGATCACCATCCTAGTCAGTATCAGCACTGAAGTTTTTTACAATTCAACCCGTTAGGAACATACACTTATTTGCCAGTTTTTTAAGGTACACCAAGCTGAAAGGATGTTTAAGGATGGTCTGGTGATGTTTTTACAGAGGTGCAGATTCAACTGTATGGTCATTTTGGTAGAGCTGCCTCATACAGGCGGGGCCTTTGTTAGCCCTGCGCTGGCATTACAAAAAATAGAATTGAGTGTAACCCCTAGATTCCACCGGGTCCGTCTGCGCCGCGTTACGGCTGCGCCGCGGTTTTGGTCCGGCCTCCTCCGGCGTCATACCCTACCAGGCGCGTTTCAGAAGCATTTCAGAAGCGGAGAGTCTTGCCTGCCGGCTCGCAGTTTTTGTTGATTTGGGCATATTTCCTGGACAGGCTACTTTGTACAGACACAGTTAATAATAACTGTAATATTCCAGTTATAAACGACATGAATCAAAGATGTGTTGCTGTATTTTAGTGGTAAAGAAATGAATGCATTCATCATCATAATTATTCTTTATATATAATTTACACAGTGCCTGTAAACCGGAGGAGAACGCTGGCATTTCTCCTCCTACTTGAAAGACTACGGAGGGATAGGGTCTGCACAATTAGTTTGTGTGTATGTATATATATAGGTCTATATAGCTCTGAACGTTCCACTTCCTGCCTGCCTGACCTTACGTTACGGCTGCGCCGCGACAAAAATAGGATTCGATCCTAATTTTAGAAAAGCCCTGCGCCGAGCCGCTTCTGGGACGCTTCTGAGCTGTAACGCGCCGCGTGTGGTGGAATAGCACCCATTGACTAGAGTGGCCGCGATCACCTTGAGCACCGCGGCGCAGCCGTAACGCGTCCGTAACGCGCCACAGACGGACCCGGTGGAATCTAGGGGTTAGAGGCAGGCTATAGGTGTACACCTATCAAATATTTAAGGTTGAATGTAGAAGAATATTGGCATGTATAATGCTAAAGCCACGCATGGTCATGTGGGTGCTATTTAATGTCTCCTTTTTATTTTGATTCGTAGCAATATTTGACATGATTTAATTTTTTCATGGATAAGACGCTACACTTTTTACAGTTTGCCAGTCTCTTCACGCCCTCTTTCAGGAACAAGATGCAGATTGGTTGCTTTGTGAATACCTAAGATACCAATTATTTTTCTCACATGTTTTAGATTTTTAAGTGGCATTTATACTCCATAGATGAGAAACTGATGAGAACAATCTCTGTTTCTTTTGTATAAACAGTCCCCTCTCACCAAGGAGTGCCATCTCCTGCCACCATTCACATCTGGAACTCCAGGTCTCGTCTCTGTGTTCAGGGACTAACCTCTGATATGGTCAGATTGGTTTTTCAAACCCTTTTTTTTCTTCTTCTGATTACTGTTAATATTTCGGTTGATATCATGAAATAGCTGCTGTATATGTTCTGGCGGCCGCTCTGCACTGTGTGGTGTTGTTTAAACCTCGGGGCTGGATGAAAGCAAAGTGCTGCCTGCCTCCCAAGGTCAGGTCACACAGACCTTAGATGTGAGTGATGCTGTGGGTGAATTCAGAGCAGTGTGTTTGTGTGTGAGAGATCCTTGTGCTGTCTGCAGCACAATGATAAATGAGACCGTAAGAGTGCAGGTGTGAGACTTGACTGTTGATTTCTTGACTATCCAACAAACATCCTCACACACACACTTTACAGTACTCCTTAGAATACTCTATTAATCTAAGTTAGGACAGACCCAGATGCTGGTAGATTTTCAGCTATCGGGACGAAAACAAAACGTTTTATCTATATCTTTCTGTATTGCTGAGCACAGTTGACCTTTCTTTGAATAGAATACATTTGTATCGCTTTAACAGAAAGACTTACATACAATTTAGTATAAAACTGTGATATAAATAAAGTGTGTTTGATAGGATATTACTTGAAGTTAAGATGCCTTGAAAGTTGAAAGTATATATGCACATGAAATAGTGATAAAGATGAGATTCAAAATATGTATTCAGAATGATATCACGTTTTCTTTTATTTAGAGAACATTTTCCCCTGTAGACATAAATCCTGCGCATACAAATTCTGCATGTCAGATTTTTCAGCTGTCAGTTACAATCGTAGTTATGTCCTTTTTTTAAAGAAAAAGTTTTGGTACTGAAAGGATTTTGAAATCGGTCTGGAGAAAATAATTGCTTTGGTTTTTCTCTCTACTGACACAGGTTTCATTTTGGTTTATTTCTTAAAAATACCCTGCTACTAGTTTTCTCTACTCAGTAATGTAATATTAGTATTAAAACAATAGGAAGGTTGTATACATTGTTCCGAACTACAATAAATACATTGAAGGCACCTCTGCTTTTTCAAATGAAAGCCTTTCTGTTCCTCAAACCTGTCGTTTGCTGAATGCCCAGTAAACAGTCACCCAACTGAAAATATCCACAAACTGTGGGTCCTCTTCTACCCATACCACTGCAACAACCAGCAAACTCACTGACATGATCCACAACATTGTGACCCTCAGCTAAAACAGGCTGTTCCACTGTGGGCCTCTCACAGCAAGACAGGCATGCTCTTTTCAAACGTAGATACATTTTAAAGACCTTTTTACATTTTGACGTTCCCTATTGTCTAGTGAAACCGAAATAATTGAAACCCCATTCCTTGTGGTTCACCTTTAAAGGCGTGCTGTGCCGAGCACATTTGACTGTTTATTCCCAGCAGGAGTTGAGGCTGGAGGAGGCAACGGTTCCCTGTGTGAGCCTTTAACTGAGAATGTGAAGAGCTTCAGAGATGCAGCATTATTTATGGGGAGGGAATGAATAAAGAGCATTGGGCTCGGGGGTGTGGGGCATTCCTGCATCTGTACTGCCAGCTCTGAGGGTCCAAAGGCACGGCAGAGAGGAGTTCAGAGGAGTGAGTCTCACCCTGATAGATAAGTAAAGGATAATGTTCAGCGAGGCGGTCATTAATAAAAAATGAAGATAGACTTGCTGATCAGGATCCCCGACTTGACTACCTACATAATAAACCAAAAACATAATATTGGTAGTAAATGATCATATTCCTTCCGCTTGGAGAGAAATAGTCTGTTCCACTGCCAACCAACGGCTGTACTGCTGCGACAGCAACGTAACTTAAAGTGGACCTATTATGCTATATTGGAAACATATATTGTAGGGCCATACCTATATAAATGTCTGTGAAGTTTTTTGCTTAAAATACCAAACAGATCACCCATTGTAGCCATGCCTCATACTGCTCATACCCTTCTTTTGCAGCCCTGTTCCAAACAGGCTGATTCTGCTTTCAATTGAACGTCTGCTGCTAGCCACGCCCCTTTGTAGCGTCACGCAGCTTTCCCCTGCTACTGCTAGAGAGATTTCTACCGGGAGATCTCAGCTAAATGCTGCGGTGATTAAATGCCATGTTATGTTCCAAACCACTTCAAGCTTTATTTCTGAAACAGTATGGAGCTCAAACCTTTCTCTCTCGCAGGGGTTACCACAAGGACATTACGCTACACATATTCTCTCCAGTAGCCTGTAGCGTTAGCTCCATGGTTAGCTCTGAGTGTTAGCATGCTTGCTAATGTAAACACACAGCATATTACTCCCAAAACATGCCGCGCATTGTTTCTGATACACCACATAGCTTGACATGTTCTTTCTTAAGTGTTTACCGCTAGAACAGTGCCATTATATGTATATATATATATATATATATATATATATATCAACTTTACTCTAAGCCTCCAGCAGACATCCTGCTGAATACACAGACACACAGCTGCGACTGTATACAGAGACGATAGGTTGGGACGTGTCACGTGTGCCGGAGAATATAGGTTGGGACGTGTCACGTCGGCCGGATGTCGCCAATGACATGATGGGAGCGAAAATTCTGGATCTGCTTGTTAGCACCCCCTTTTTTCTTTTTCTTTTTTTTAGAGATGTGGGTACGGAGGAAAAGAGAGAGGGTTTTGTTTTCTGACACTTGGTGAGTTCCCTGACACACCGGGGACACATATTCATGTATAAAAGACATCAAAAAGTGCATTTTGCATGATAGGTCCCCTTTAAAGTGACGGCAGCACTGATCGAGGTTTTCTGTAACTGTTCACAGTTTCTGTTCCATTAACAAGTCTTTTAAACACTGCCAGAGCCCGTACCGTGTTCCCTTTAGTGTTTACTTCCTGTCTGTCTGTCTTCTTCTGCTGATTTCTCTGACGTCCAGCGCTCTGTCTTTTAACCACTTTCCTTTTCATGTGCTCCCAGCTGACCTTAAATTCACCGGACTTCTTTATGTGGATTGATATGACTGCACATAGTCCCTTGATCCTGCTTAGCAGCGTCTGTTAGCAAGAATTAACAACCTCTGGAATTTCCAAATTGACCAATCAGAATAGAATGTTCAACTAATCCGTAATAAATAATGTTAAAGTTCAATCAGTGATTCCTCAAATTGTCATTGTGAGTAACACTGTATAATAACTATCATTCATAAATGTTATGACATGTGAGTGGAAGGATCTCCTCCACCCCTCTTCTCCTCCTCTCCTCCACCCCTCCATCCCTCAGCAGTGTAATAACCAGCCTGATGCCTGTGTCCTTCAGCACCTTATTGAAAACCTCCTGCTTGTAAAACAGGCAGAGTTGAGAGAAGCACCAGAACACAAACACACATTTCTCCATGACGTGCCTAGTGTCAGGTCTATTGGACCAGCATGCTTTGCTCCAGCCAGCAGCGGCTTCAAGCTGGCACACTCACAGAGAGTGGCCCCCCCCCCCCCTTCAGGGTGGTCTCCTGTGGCACAGCAGGTTTGCTCTGATGTGACTCATGGCTTCAGACAGAGTTACTCTGTTCTGCCCTGAGAGGGAACTCGCTGCAGTTGTCATGGTGTTACATCAGATTATGTGACACCGGCTGAAAAGACACGCATTCATTTCTCCGAACAATATGAACTTACTCGGATATCTAGAAATACACAAACACACACACTGGCATACACATGTATATCTCTACAGAAACCTACCTTTGAGGCGTTTCTGAATAATATGAACTTGCATGGATATTCAGAAGTGCGAACATGCACGCTCACTGTCTCCCCTCCCCCATGAGTTATCCAGAAATATTTACTACATTTGCATTATAAGCAGCTCTTAAAATCCCCCCTCCTGAGCTCCATATAAGGCTGTTGGTCTAATTCTTTCCCCAAACTGGAGCACTAATGCTTGGGTGAAGTAGCAGCACAACGATGCTCACCTCCAAGAGGAATCCTGGGTATTTAGCAGAGCCTGGTGAAGAGAGGTGCGAGCTGTGGAAGTCAACAGGAGGGTGTGTTTAGCATAGTGCCATCAGTGCATGTTGGTCTAAAATTGCCTTTTTTAGTTTTAATTTCCTGTGCTTATATTCTAGAAAATATAGCACTTTGCTTGTTTATGGCACATGCTGCTGATCATAAACAGTTGAACAGTGGCCAGATATGATTGTCTTTTTAGGAAACACGTCCAATAGATGTTTGATAGTGTGGCAGAGAATCAGTAGTAAATAGCAATCAGTGTTAAATTATTGCTAAACAAATAATGGGTTATATTTGTTTGGGCCCTGCAGCGCCTCTGACTGTGTGAGCCCTTGATTCCATGTTTGTGGTGGTTATCCATGTATCATCCCATTATCTGACACACAGCTCGGGGAACGCCCAAGGCTCATTATGGTTTCACGGCTTGTCAAACCTGTGGAGTGGCTGGCAGCACTTCTGGGTTCCAACTCCTTTTTTTTCATTCTTCTGCTGTTGGAGAAGCTCATTTAGTTTTTATTGGCCAACACACTCTGGCTCCACGCCCTTACCTTAACACACACCCTTACGTTTTATTAAGGTAACACTATGGAAAAGCAGCATTAGGCGTATGGGACCACAAAGAGGCTCTTTGTGAAGCCCTGTGTTTTACACACACAGCACACGGAGAGGAGCAGACAACACAGCAGTCATACTAACATTTACCCTTCACTCTCTGCACTGCCCTTGTTATTGCCCAGACAGCCACAGAAAGGTGTGTGTGTGTGTGTGTGTGTGTGTGTGTGTGTGTGTGTGTGTGTGTGTGTGTGTGTGTGTGTGTGTGTGTGTGTGTGTGTGTGTGTGTGTGTGTGTGTGTGTGTGTGTGTGTGTGTGTGTGTGTGTGTGTGTGTGTGTGTGTGTGTGTGTGTGTGTGTGTGTGTGTGTGTGTGTGTGTGTGTGTGTGTGTGTGTGTGTGTGTGTGTGTGTGTGTGTGTGTGTGTGTGTGTGTGTGGCACATCAGGAGCTCAGTGTTTCAGAGCCTAATCTTGTAGCAGCACACTTCCTTCTGTCTCTGC